GGTGAGATGCGGTGAGCAAAGATAGATAATTTAATATTTTGTAACTCTGACCAAAACATATCAAACATTAGTATTCCAACAAGACAATAAGCCGTTCTAACTCTTTATGTGTTCATTTAGTTTTGCTAGTACAGCACATAGAAATACATCTTCACATATACCTCTAGGTTTTATGAATCATTTGGTGAATTTAAATGAAATATTTTGACATAATATTGATATATAAATGATATGCTAGGCCAATATTAGCCACTACTATATCAGCCTGACCTTTATTTAGCATCCCTTAATTTTCAGTAGATAGTCAACAACAAAGAAAACATACTTGGTGCACTGTGACAGCTCCATCTTGGTCGATGCCCATTTGCTCTTCAACTGAGTCAGGTGTGTGAAGGTTCTGATCCTTGCTGCTGGAGTCGGCTGGAAGCTGATCGGGTTGAATGTTGTCCTGTGTACAACATATCAAAGAAACAAGATTGTTTGAAATTGTATTTAGCTTCACTAAAAGAGCAATTTAAATATTGAATTCCTATCTATCTAAGATTATTTTCACATTAAACAAACTTTGGGGGTAAGAGTTATTTCAGCAACAATTACTAACTTTAAGTAGTAGCACTTTGTCCATTGTCTGGGTAACACTCTTTATTACATTTTTTCAGTCCAGAAAACAAAACCATGAAACTTTTTTTTCTAATCAAATCTGAAAATGTATTTATTTTGTTTTAAGTTTAATAGTGGGTAAAGAATTTGGGATGTATTTCTGATTAGCTAAAACTGTGAATTCAACAAATCATGTGCAGATCCTGACAGTGATGCATGCACCTTGCAGGATCTTGCAGAGTGAAAAAGTGGAAAACCATAATTTTTGTGATTTACTGTTGTTTGTAAGTGTGGCCAAACGTTACCAACGTAATGCATATTTTTTAACGGTTTTTTCATCCGCACAAAAACACTACATAGCTAACTGCTGATTTAAAAATATATGGTTGACAGATGCCGCCTGCTTGTAGCCTAGCAGATTGATAACTAAATAATAACTAAATGTGGCTGATCAGTATTGGCTAACGCTATCTGTAACATCACAAAACGTACGAAACTAACCCTGTATCCAAGTTTTTTAAGCACGTGGCCCAACCACTGTAGCTAACAATCTTAGCTCACTTAGCAGACGTTACTTACTTTTTGCTGCGGTGCTTGGGTTTCCTCCTGTCGGTTTTCATCTCCACGTGTGGCGTCGCCAGGTCTGGTGTCTTCAAGAAGATGTTGAAAGTGTCTTCTCTTTACATGATGGTAGAATGAGTTGTACACTCTATATTCCTCAGTGCATCCATCAATGCCACAGAGCAACCTGAAGTCAGGGCTGCGACTGTGCAGTCGATTAATATGGCTCAATAATAATTTCAGTGAAAAAGTTATAAAAACGCAGCAGATAACGCACCGCCAAAGCATCGTGAAATCTTCCAAAAGTTAAAGTTATTAAAACGTTTCTGCAGCAGGCCATGTGTTGGGGAAAATAACTAATGAAGTGGGTTTATCACATTCTCTAGCTGTATAGGGGAGGCCAGTGAGTCATGTTCCTATATATATATATACACGTTCTAATAATGCCTGGGAATAACTTGTGGAATGATGTGCATCTTGAAACAGATGTTTGAAATGTTACCTATGAACGCATCAGTTATTAATATTCCTAATATTTGCAACATATTCAATATCTCTGTCACCCCTCTTTAAGAATAGTTGGTACCTTCCAATGGGAACCACGAAGAGGGTCCATTAAGGGCGTGTGTTAGGTCAGGTGCACCTAGCTTCAGGGTTGCTGGCTAGCTTCCCTTCAGGCAGAAGACTGAACCTCCGCAAGTGATTTCACATTTAAAGCTCCCATGTCATGCTTTTCCGGTTATTACCCGTCCCCTTGTGTGTTATGAAGGTTTTTATGCATGTAAACGGTGTGCAGAGTCAAAACCCTCAAAGTACACCCTGTAGCGAGTAAAACTCTAACACAGAAAATACCTCCCCAAAACGCCTCGTTGGAGATACGTCACTGCCCATTTGATTCTTCCGGGTACCGCCTGATGTCATGCGGTACCCGGAACGAAATGGACCAATCCCGAAGAGCTATGGCCACACCAGCAGCGGCGTGTTCCTCCTCCAGAGGTTCGAAGAACCGGCATTTCACAGACGAAAGCTTCCAAAACATTGCCCAGTTTGAGGCCGGATATGCACAGCTTGTTTGGACCGTTTGGAGCAGGGGAAGATCTGGGTATACAACCTGTAAGTTTGCATTGTTATTTGTGTATTTATCAAACAAGACTGTTTAAATGTGTAAACTGTGTTGGACTGCTAAGCCATTGACACAGTGCTAACTAAGTTGCTAGAGTTTCCATATATCAACTCTAATATCAGCAGATGGCCTTGCATACATGTATCTCATAGCAGGAGAATGTCTGCATTCACACACAAAATACCTATTGACAGTATACTCCGGGTGATTTGCCGTGCGGTCAGTCACGAAACGTAATTACATTATAGCTGGCGTAGCGATCTAACACACGGAGCTAGAGCTAGTTTTGGTCGGAAAAACATTTTTGTGATGCTACGTTGCTAGCGTTTAAATATATCAACTACAATGTCAGCAGATGGCCTTACATGTTTGTCATGGCAGGAGAATGTCTGCAGTCACACACACGGAATACTCATACAGTATACTCCGGTTTACCGTACATTGTGACCGTACATATACTGCATGTAGCTAACGAGGCTAGCTGTATGCTAGCGCAAAACAATGTATTCATGCAAGTTACATTGTATGGTAGCAGAATACCCGTATACGATTGCAATTATAAACACGTTATTGCTAGCCTAATATGAACCACTAGATTTTGTTCATAGTAGTTTTATTACACTGCATTATAGTTGCCTTTCCTCCAAGCTAACGTTCATATCGTGTTAGCTACCAAGGTAAACAAAGCTAGGTTAGCATATTAGCAGGCAAGCTGTTCATTACACAACTACTACTAACGAATCTAAAACAACTAAGTTTCTCTAATATTTTGTGATTTGCATTTGATTTCGTCCAGCCAGATCCTGGCGGACAATCCATGACGGGGAAGGGACTTCTACTGAGGCCTCGTGCTAAAAGGCACCGCACCGACTGTGCGCAGGCAAGATGCGAGGAGGAGGAATATACCGTGTGTATATATGTATATTTATGTTCATTTTGTACATTTCTAAAAATAAAGTTTAATGGAAATACTTAGTAGGCCTATCCTTTCTTCCCTGAATTCATATATAGCAAACCATGATTTGATTTCTCATCAAACAGTAGTAGTTTATAACGGGTAAAAATAACTTACTCTTTGTTATGAGAGTAGCTCGTAGGCCACAACGGAAAGACAAGGAGACATACACGAGTTTACAAAACCACAGCACATTTATTGTGGTAAATGCAGAGATAGGTGGTTGAGAGGATCGCAGAGTTAGTCTTCCTGCAGCCGCTTTGGAGAGAGACTGGGGCCGTCGTGTCCGGAGGTGTCCGTGATCGTGCTGATTAGCCTCTTCAGCTCCACCCCATCGTAAGACAAAGGCCCTGGGGCCGTCACACTCTTCTATAACAACAGTTCCGTACCGACGCCATGATAAGACTGATGTTACGCTGAGAGCAGCCGGGAAAAGCACTGACATGGGCGCAGCCTCTCTGGTGGTTGACTAATCAGAACGAGTGGCCGAGCTGACCAATCGGAGCACACTAGGCTCACAGGGAGGGGGGGGCAAGAGCTCCAACGAGTCGTTTAGTGGAGAAAGTGAATACTGCTGAATACACATGCTTGACAGAGATGCTGTATGCGAAACCAATGTGAGTTTGGAAAATTGCACAGTATAAATCTATTTTAGTATACCTCAACAATGTAATTATGATCAGTGGAAATGGCCATGACATGGGCCCTTTAACTACGCCATGGATGAAAATGGAAGAGATATCACATATCCGGGCATGGATCCTATAGCAACTGCAGCATTAAAAGGTAATGTAATTGTGTATTTTATGCTGCACCTCTCCAGCAAGCTTTACATTATTTTAATCGGTTGGACAACAAGTTAGCATGCAAAGTAAGCTAGCTAGATGGCTACATATCTAGCGTTAACTTAGCTAATATCTACTGTAAGCTGTTAATAACTGCACAAATGACAAATCGTGGTTAACATTTTAGTTGATACTGTATTATTGCCAGAAATAATGTCAAGAAGCAAATGAGCCTTCCACGACTGACAGTAGACAGCATTTAAAAATGCGTTGTTGTATGATAGTGCAGGCTATTGAAACTAAACTGTCCTTTGGATATAAGCAGGCTTGGGACGTAAATTATGCTTATTTGAATAAAGATTTCAAGGTAAAGACACTGTTTTGAAAAATCTTGTGAAGCCAGCCAGAAATGTACATTACTCTTTCATTTTATGTATTTAGATAAATATGTTATTAGTTGCTTTTTACCTTATTATTAACTGTGTGGTTAAATCTGTTTTCAGCTGCTAATATAAGCAGAGACATGCTGCCCAGCCTCTCTAAGGAGGACTTGCGCGATCTCCTTCCCGGGCCTGAGCACTTCTTCAGAAGAAGAACCATTTGGAGACTCACTCATGATGAAAATGAGGTAATTCCAGATTCTAACATTTGAGGGACTTTAAACCTGTTACCAAGTAAGCCTTTCCTAGTCATCATGCAGTTATTTGAAGAAGTGGAGTTTTTTGGTTGTGTTGATTTTTGTTTTTTTGCTCTTTTCATTGTAAATACCATGATATGCATCTTTTATACAGGGCCAGGAGACAGACCTGTGTAGACCGAGTACCTCTCATGGGACTTGTGATTTCAGCCCTATTCCCACCCCCCAACCTTCCTTGTTTCCCTCCTCCTCCTGCCCCAACCCCTCTCCATCCCCCGTCTTTTCTCCACCATCCTTCCCCTCTCAAAGCCCACAACCCCAACATTGTGCCAGCAGAACCGTACAGCTTCCTAGTCCACTGTATGTCTTATACACAGACACAGAATTGGAGCAATCACGAAGCACCTTTTCTGAAAAGCAGCGCGCTGGAGAAGAAGGAGACTACGTCCTTTCCAAAGATCTTCGCTGTCGATTAATCAGGAATACAGTCACAAGCATGCTTTCCATTAAAAGAGCAGCTGGGGATGACTTTAACTATCCATGCAGCCGTGAACTCACTGTAATGGCGAAGCGTCTAATCGAGTACTACCCAATGCTTCGGGACAGATCTCAAAACAGTAGAGCTGAGTGGGTATGTCCCTATTCAAGTTTTCAACTCATGGTTCAGACAAAGCACTGCAATCATTTGCCTATCAAACTGGGAGTGATGTGTTTCAGTTCAATAAGAGCTCTGTGCAACTGCTTGTATGGTGTATTTTGTTTGATACAAGTTTGTTTAATGTGAGTTATAACACAACCTGTTGTGTGTGTGTGTCTTGTAAGGAAACTGTGAAAAAGCAGCTTTTGAAAAGGGTCCAGAATGTGACAACCCCCAAAAAGAAGCAGGGTTCAACTCCTTCAAGAAAGAGGCCTAGGAGTTTAAGCTTTCAGAGCAGCCATGAGACGTCCACTGATGAGACTGATGAATCCACCGCATCAACCTTGATCTTGGAGAGATCACCACCATCTCGATGCAGCGCCCCGGAGGTTGAACAGTTATGTGGTAAGTACAGAAATTGAAATAGTAGATGGTTCAATCTCTTCAAGAAAATGTAACAATATCAATAAGCTATTTTAGAACCCTTTTTTATTCAAGATTACTCATCTATGTTTGCCCTGTGTCAGTCACTATGGCTGTTTGTGTGTTAATGTCTCATTTACATTTTAGCATCAGAAATGAAAATAGTGGGGTTTATGTTTTCTAGCATCAGAAACTGAGAGCCCACAGTCCCAGGCGAGACACGATAAGACTCTACAGGCGATGTATAAAACCAAGGCCAGACCAAACAAGATGGATGTTGCTCAGCTCCTGGACCTCGAAATCCAAGCGAGAAGGGCCTTCATTGACTCTGATGTTACAAAGGAGCAGGACAGGCCTTCCAAGATTCTTAAAGCTTATCCTTGCTTTGGAGAACTGGATCATGTAAGCAGATGTCTTCGTTTTATGTACAACTATGCTTCCTAATTCGGTTAACGTTAGACCAAATTTGAAATGAGAAATGGTATGACAATTAAATCAGATCTGTCTCATTATTTATAAATGAATGACTCATATGCTTATTGAATACAAATATTTATTCTGCATAGATATATAAAAACCCTCCACTTATTTAAAAAGAACACATTTCACAAATGTGCTTCTGATACACACAACATTATTTTGTTAGTAGTATTGGTCCACAATACGTATTTGAAAATAGTGTGTGCATCAGACATACATTTGCAAAAAAACACATATTTCTATGTGCACTGTAATATTTTTGTTAAGTGACTATTTAAATCACATTATACACATATTCATATTTTTTGGGAAATTCAGTTATGAGACGAATTACTAACCCTTGGAATGTAGATTTTAATATTTCTCCTATATATTTTCTCTCTCGTTGTCTTAGCTAATGGATGAACTACGGCGGGTCCTCAATCAAGGCAACTCCCACTTCTTAACGGAACTTAAGACCCGGTGGGGGACCTTTTGTGAGAGGGCACAGTTTTATGGAGTTTTCAAAAAGCTCACGAGGCGTCCGCAGCTTGACAAAGGTGATTATTGTCTCTGACCATGTCTGTTTATTAACTGACTGCAGGAAACGGAATGACACTTTTTTTCCCAACCGTAAAGCACTCAATTGCCATGATGAAGGCTTTACCAGAGATGTTCCCATCACCTATGGCCCCACCCAAGAAGTTAAGGCATGCAAGTGAGGCTGTGCTCCACGTCCTTGAGGTAAGAACATTTATAAGAACTTTCTCATGTCGATACAAAGACTGAAATGTTGTGATCATATTTGTTTCCCTTTTTGTGATGATTTCTTTGTCTGTTTTTGTGTCAGTCTGCAGAAGACCCCAACACCTTTCTCCAGACACGACCACTCTCCAGCACTGTTGTCATCATCTGCGAAACCAACTGTATACTGGCCATTGGAACCATGCCCGTGCTCATCTTCCCAAAAGAGGACATTCATGAAAGCGTGATGTATCTCATGTTATTACACCTTTCACCTCACCTATCCTAAGTGCATTGCAACACTTCTGTCTGTGGTGCAGACAGAAGTGCTCTTGGACGCCATTCACGACCGTGACATGACTACTTCATACAAAAAGGCTATGGCCGACTGGAAAGAGTTCATAAGTGATTAGGGCACTTGTATATGAGGGGCCGCTAGGGACATTACTCAGAAATACCGTTCACAGACACATGTGAAACGCTCTCACACACACAACTGAAACCAAAATCATTTACAAACATATGTAAAAATCTCTCATATACACATATGAAACGTTCGCATACACATGAAATCCAAAGTTATTCACATACACATGTGAAACGCACTCATATACACATATACACATGTGATACGCACTCACACCTGAAACGCTCTCACACACACATGAAACGCACTGACACACACACCTGAAACTCTCACACACGAAACGCTCTCCCACAGATATGGGATAGTGTGTTTTATGTGTGTGTGAGAGCGTTTCAGGTGTGAGTGTGTTTCACGTGTGTGTGTGTGAGTGCGTTTCATGTGTGTGAGAGCGTTTCAGGTGTGTGTGTGAGTGCGTTTCAGGTGTGTGTGTGTGAGTGCGTATCACATGTATATGTGAATAACTTTGGATTTCATATGTGTGTGAGAACGTTTCATATGTGCATATGAGAGATTCTTACATATGTTTGTAAATGATGTTGGTTTCAGTTGTGTGTGTGTGAGAGTGTTTCACATGTGTATGTGAACGGTATTTCTGAATAATGACCCTAGCGGCCCCTCATACTTATAGTCCTATTGAAAATTGTTCGCTGAGTCAAAAGTGTCATGAGAATTTCACTTGCGTTGCATTTTACAGTGAAATAATGTTCTCTTTTTTTCTAAAGACATTTCTGATGACTGACCTTTACTACGCAGTTTGAAAACAATAAAAACATTAAAATAAATCATTTGAGACTCATATTTTTCTTTATGCAAGCAGTTAAAGTTTATATCTTGATAGGATTAAAGATTTTTGAAGGTTTTGTCTCTACGTTTCTTGGTATTTAGCCTTATTTTAAGAATACTTTAATAGCACCAAATGCTGAATTTAAGTAGATTTTTCTACATATTAAGAAAATAATTCTTAAATCTTATCTTTGTATCTAGACAAATGTACCTGTTTAAAGTGAAGCTGCACTGGATTTAAGATATGTTGCCTAACATACAATTGAATTTTGGGACAATAGCAGTAGAATATGCTGAATTCAAGCACATTTTCCTTATAATTAGATTATAATTCTTAAAGATATTCCTTGCTTCAATTCAAATGTACTTATTTTTGGTTTAAAAACACTTGTTTTAAGATATCTGTAGATCTTTTTAGGCTAGATGTATTTACTTGTTTTAAGAAGGTCTTGGCAAGTGCATTTTTCTTGTTCTGTTGGTAGATAATTTTTCTTATTTTAAGTAATATATTACTCATTTTACTATTTATTTTACTTGTTTTTTGAGGCTTAGTTTTTGCAGTGTGTGTGTGTGTGTGTGTGTGTGTGTGTGTGTGTGTGTGTGTGTGTGTGTGTGTTTACATGCACTAAAACCTATAGAACACACTCTACAGGAGAGGGAAAAAGCAGAATAGGGCCTCTTTAATGAATCAGGAATTATATCACAGTGATTCAGTTATTCTGAAAGAGCCCATCTTCATAATGATTATTTTTATATTTGGTACTTTAAGTTTATTTTCATGATAATACACTTGTACTTTGACTGAAGTAAACAAACGACTGCAGGACTTTTACTTGTAAGAGAGTATATGACCACATCTTTTAATTATTCAAAGGATCTGAGTGAACTACCTGAAGGTCAGTTTTCCATTAAACCATGACTTTAAAGTCCTTTCTCCTGAATATTCCTGCTCACAGAGTCCCGTCTTCTGATTGTCTCGGTGCGCTCGGCAACCTTACAGAGAATTAAGGGTCCGGACATTCATCAACCTGACGTTACTCATATTCCTCCTCTATCCTTCTGCTGGCATAGCGCCATGTTATAAATGAGTTTGAAGGGACAGAGTGCATGCACTGGAAAAAGCTGCTTCAAAATCAAGTAAAAGAATAATAAAAACAAGGTGTGTTCTCTTGTAATAAGTAAACAAATCTTCCAATAGAACAAGGGAACATTTGCCTGGTAAGATCTCTTGAAATAAGGAGGGATATTAAGATAAATGAGATCCTGTAATCAGCTGGGATAACTTTTGTTGAACCAGGATCAGGACATGTTGTGTTGATTTTCCAATAAATTGTAAATGAGATGTTTTCGAGAGTCTGATTTAACAAGATATCTATGATGCATCTTCTAAAAACAAGACCCTATATCTCACTGCATTGTTAAAGTTATTAGGTCTTATATCAAGTGTAAATACATGTTCTGACTAGAAATTAGACGAATACTTGATAAGATTTGAGAGGATCACAAACAACTCACACTGATGAAGCTCAGCATGAATTCAACCAGGAAGACCGTCTTTATATCTGTCATTCACATATTTCCTTCTCACTACGCTCACCCCTCCAATCAGTAATTGGCATCACTCCCCAGCTGAACCTATCACTTTCGTCTCTATTCCCACAAGCCAATCACAGCGCATCGTCACACCTTTAAATCTGCTCTCCCCCCCTCCTGACAGCGTTGGGGTAAATAACCCAAATGAGTACGGAGACAGGAAGGCTGGTTTCAAAGTTTTAACAGAAGGCGAGCTTTATAGAGTGGTGCAGGAACGAGTCCTAAAACCCTGAAGTGAGTTAGCATTTCCCCACTTCCTGTTCCCTCGTCTCAGAGCCAATGGGATCTCTCCATAGGATTTTGGAAAATATCTGGAAATAAGGTCTGTGGTTGAGACACATTGAAGAGACGGATCACGTTTTGTTCTACGACATTAAATCCATCAGCAGTGACCCCACTGGTGATTTCTGAAGAGTTGACGTGTCTGAAAAACGATGGTTGTTACCAAGTGGCTGAATAGGACTACAGAAGTTGTGGAGGCCGTTGTACGTCATTACGCCGAACACGTAAACACTCTAAGTTTGTTTGCCCTGTTCTGATTGAAAGCAAGTACCTGCCTCCTGCAAACTGTTCAAACAAACGCTTCAACTCGTACCATTTAGAATCTGTGTGTTTGAATATGGATCTGAAGTTGGCGTGACGTTGAAGTCGTGCTGCTGGACTCGCCTGTAGTTCCTTTATAGCATCACGTTAGCATTTTGCTTCTGGACATTAGATTTATGATTAGAAAATTATAAAAGTAGGGTAGACATGTGGAGATTATCCGGCTGAACAAAACGTGCATTTATCAAACAGGTTCGTTTTCCACAGACATTATTTTTTACAATATTCCAAAATCTTATGGAGAAATCCCGTTGCTTTTTGTCGAGGGAACCAGCCGCTTCCTTCAGGGTCGAACTACACAAATACGTCATCACTGCACCGCTTTATTCAAAAGCTGATAACATGAGGAATACATTTCAAAACCTCCATCAATCCCTTCATGCCTCCACCACCACCAGGGTCTAATAGTTTTATCTGATAATGATACTCCCGCACAACGGGGTAAAAAATAAATACATTTTCAAACTAGTCTCTCCTGGTTGAACTGGTTTGCTCTTGTGTTTTCAGGACGAGAAGAACCAGGTGCTGACCACCAACATCTGGCTGCAGCTGGTGAGTCTCACTCTGCTGTTTGGGATACAACCAGTGCTGTAGATGAATTATAAACCTGCGTTAATCACACTAGATATCTGTGAATAATCATGATTTATTATACTTTTGAAACGCTAGTATTTCCTTGCTGGAGATAAAACAAATACACGTGTGGTGATGTAATAAAGAAATGACAAACTGATGAGAGAAATCAGAGCTTTTACGTTATTATAATAGGATTTCTGACTTTAAGGCATGAAGTCCAACGTGGATATAACTGTATATATACTGTTAAGGAATAATTCTTCTAGATATCTAACCTTTTACTCTGACATGTGTTATCTCCTTTAAGGAAAGGCCTTGGTGCCATATGTGTTGTTGTCACCAGTGTGAGACCGGTCAACTTGACCGGCACGAAGGGTAATTGTTGTGAGAACACTGAGGCACTTCTTTATCGGTGTTTGTGGGCTCTCGGATGTGAAATCCTTGAGGCCATGAGTGTCGGACGCAGATGATTCAGTGTTTAGTCTACTCCTTCAGAGATGTTGATTTCTCTCTGTGAACCTGTTAAAAGGTCTAGCATAGAGAGAGGTTCTTCAGAATTGATGTGGCAACTCTACCGTGTAGTCAGAACCTCTGACTCTTTGAATTGTGATGTGAATCCTCCGGCCGAATACTCTGAATAAACCCATCAGTGTTTGACATCAAAGCTCCAACTCTCACCGTGTCTCCTTCCTGAGTCGGTGACTCCATGCATTACTACACAGAAGTTTCCTCCACAAATTGGCGTTGTCGGCAGGATGCCAACATATCTTCAGAGACTGGTAAGTGTGATTTCAAATCTACATTTGGACATTGCCTTACCAGAATCTGTGATTGACGGTATCCTAACATTA